CACACACACACACACACACACACACACACACATTCTGGATGAAAAATAATTGTAGTTGTGATATCGACAGAGATTTACCCTTTTTGTCACCATTTTATTGTTTTACATTGCTTTTTCTATATATTAAATATTTGCATTGCATTATAATCATCACTGTTTTGATCTTGCAGAGATTTGTGTCTATGTTCTATAACTGAATTGCATTTGTCTGGTGTTTTTATTCTCTTCACTACACCATCGCATCGCATACTAACTGTCATTGTTTAAGCTGGATGTTGGCGAGATGATGAGTGTACAGTATGTGCACTGCATGCACTGAATATTACTGTATAATGCAGTCCAACCCTTCAATCTGTCCTCAGCGTTCCCGTCAGGGGGCGTGTCCTGCGCTCTGATTGGCCGAGCGCTGAGGTGTGTCGGGGGGTGTGCTCGTGCGTCCGCATGATCATCTGAGCGTCATGACGCCGTTTCCGAGCGGCGCGTGAGAGCTGCGGCTGCAGTTTGACAGCGGCGGAGGTGCGCGACGAGTTTCGGCGGAGATTATGTGTTTATAGAAATGATATAAATGCTCTTTCGCTGCAGTGATCGCGCTGACAGCACCGCCATCGGCTCACTGACGCCTCGACGCGCGATGTTTGGCGAGCGCTGGCTGCTGCGCTTGAAGGTGACTCGCTGTTTGTGTTTGTCAGAATCAGTGTTGTTGTGTGAACTGAAGATCACATCCTGCACTCCCTCATACTGCTCTATTCTGTTCTGTTCTGTTCTGTTCTGCTCTATTCTGTTCTACTCTACTCTATCCTGTTCTGTTCTGTTCTACTCTATTCTGTTCTATTCTGCTCTACTCTATTCTGTTCTGTTGCACTCTATTCTGTTCTGTTCTGTTCTACTCTATTCTGTTCTGTTGCACTCTGTTCTGTTCTGTTCTGCACTACTCTATTCTGTTCTGTTGCACTCTATTCTGTTCTATTCTGTTCTGTTGCACTCTATTCTGTTCTGTTCTGTTCTACTCTATTCTGTTCTGTTCTACTCTATTCTGTTCTGTTCTTCTATTCTGTTCTGATCTACTCTATTCTGTTCTGTTCTGTTCTACTCTATTCTGTTCTTCTATTCTGTTCTGTTCTACTCTATTCTGTTCTGTTCTGTTCTTCTACTCTGTTCTGTTCTATTCTATTCTGTTCTGTTCAATTTTATTCTGTTCTCTTCTATTCTGTTCTATTCTCAGTTGTTTAACGTTCCTTTGTGCTTTATGTCCTATTCTAGTTTGCTCTGTTACTCTATATTTGTTTTAATGTATTAAATCTATGCATTTTCTTATATTTATTGTTGTATATTTTATATTGTATATTACATTGTTTTATTAATATTACATAATAATATTGATAATAATGTGTTTTACTATTTTTTTAGTGCTTTTCATAGAATATGCAATATTTTGTGATATGATATGTTTTTTTTATATATGCTATATTATATTTTATTAATAGGCTAGCGTATGTATATTTCTTTTGCTATTTCTTTAGTTCTTTTCATAGAATATGCAATATTTTGTGATATGATATGTTTTTTTTATATATGCTATATTATATTTTATTAATAGGCTAGCGTATGTATATTTCTTTTGCTATTTCTTTAGTTCTTTTCATAGAATATGCAATATTTTGTGATATGATATGTTTTTTTTATATATGCTATATTATATTTTATTAATAGGCTAGCGTATGTATATTTCTTTTGCTATTTCTTTAGTTCTTTTCATAGAATATGCAATATTTTGTGACATGATATGTTTTTTTTATATATGCTATATTATATTTTATTAATAGGCTAGTGTATGTATATTTCTTTTGCTATTTCTTTAGTTCTTTTTGTAGAATATTGTCTTAATCTATTAGATGCTATTAGATTTTTAGATTTCTTATATTTGTTGTTATATATTTTATTATAAATATTGCATTACATTTATTCATATATATAATTTTTTATATTATATACTACATTGTATTTGACTATATTTATGTTTCTTATATTTACTATTTATTGTCGTGGAATATTATGTCCTTAATCTATTAGATGATATTAGATTTCTAATATTTATTGTTATTTATTATACTATATATTTATTATACTATGAATTACAATATATTTACTCATATTATATATATATTGTTATTTTTATACTATTCTTATTCATATTTATTTAATTATTGTTCCTATTTCTTTAGTTATTTTCGTGGAATGTTATGTTCTTAAATGCTATTAGATTTCTTATATTTATGGTTATACATTTATTATATTATAAATTACATTACATTTATTCATATTATGTATGACATTTATTTATTTTATTTGTATACTATATTTATCCATATTTATTTAATTATTTTTCCTATTTCTTTAGTTATTTTCATAGAATATTATATTTATGAGCAGGTGTACAGAGAATTAGTGTCTTAACAACATGCAGGATTTGATTTGTCCCAGTGTCTTTCATCATGCCTGGTGGTTTTCTGGTTGTGATCTGTAGTTTTAGATCATGTGGTTATAGATTGACAGAGCCTCACGTGCTGTGACTGACCAGAGCTTGTGTCATCACACAGCAGTTTTCCAACACTAACCAGGCTTTTCTGAGCACATCAGATGGTTTTGTTAAAATGTTGCCTTCTGGGTTTGAGAAGAGAAGAGATTTTGCTCCTGTGGTGAAAGAGAGTTACATAATATCACCGGTGTAGTTACTGTGTGTCCATTACGCTGCTGTAGCAGCTCAGTATGACATTGTTTGAGTCTTAATCACTTTCTGGAATTGTGGATTTTTAACATGTTAATTCCAAGGTATGCGCTGTCTACTATTGAGTACTATAAACTTTCATATCATATTATTAATATTAATAATGAATTAATAAACAATATTAATATTAGTAGACAACAAGTGAAAACGAGACAATTTTGTCAACCAGACTGTTTAAATTTGTAGGTTAATCTGTGTTTAATTGTAGGTTCATGACAAAAAAGTCACATATCACTCAAAAAAAAAAAAAAAACTACAAAAAAAAATATATATAATAAATAATCAATAGTAGTGATACTTTTGCATAAAGACTATGTAGCCTATTTTGAGTATAATTAAAATTGAATTATTTTTTATTTTATTTATATTATTATTTTCATTTTTTTTTATAATTTTTTATGTAATAATTTTTCGAAGATGTAAATAAAAAAACAACAAAAAGATTATTAGAGTACATTTTACAGTCTTTAACTAAAACTAAAACCATAGCAAAAAACATTTTCAATTGCTTGAAATAAATTTCACTTTAAAATAAAATACAAGAAAACCTATTTAAAAACTCATTTTATTTTGGCTAGCTGCCAAGGCAACATTTCTCATTTTCATTTAGTTTAACTTGAAGTACTAAAATAAGTAAAACTAAAACTGAAAAAAACATAATCTAGACATTTGAAAAAAAAAAAAAAAATAGCAAAACCACAACAAGATTACTAAAAATTTAAGTAGAAATAAAATCAAATCAGAAAATATAAAATGTTTTTCAAATGTTTTATTCAGAATATTAATGAAAAGTATAATAGTATCTCAATTAGGGATATGCCGGTATCAAATTTTCATGTTGCGATTAATTGCTAATGCTTTTATCACGGTATACTTTATTATCACGATATTGAAATTTAGTTGATATATCGCATTACCGAATACCGGCACAAGTCTAATCTCAATGATACTAAAATAACACTCCTTTCTACTTCAAAATGAGTGTGTTACTTGCCATTCCTTTGTAATTTATTGTAACATTTATTAGCAGTTTCTGAGTGACAATCATTTCTACCAATTCGTTTTTTAATGTAGGTTTTTTTCCCTTGGTTGCTGTTGTATACTTTGACTATATTATGTAAATACCATGATATATGAATCTGGCAATAAGATTCAAAATCCTGTGGAATTACCATCACATACCATTAATGTACCATGTTACCACCGCAGTAGGGCTGTCAAAATGGCTGAAAAACTAAATTCGAATTTTGTACTTAAATATGATCAAAATTCGAATTATATTCGAATTTAAAATGCATAATTTCAGTTAGGGGGAAAAAAAGCTTTTGGCTTCTCTTCTGCGGCCACAAGTGGGCGCATCGAGCAAAATATTACTAATGCACGTTTATTTAAAGCATAAGATAACATGACTATCTGTGAAAAAAAGTGCATAATGTTTAAAGTAATGTTTATAAACGAATTAAAAAAATCATTATGTTGCTTAAACAACTATAAACAAAACAGTGTCATGTACGTATGCATAGTTTAATACAAAGGGTGGAAAGCCAATCACACAGTTCATTTTTCATTTAAAAACATGAGATGCAGTGGGATGGGGAAAAACCCGCCATAAAGTCTCGATATATGTTTTTTTCAAAGTTAAACTTGCATTAATTTTACATGGCTTTCTAAACATGCGGCTCTTTTGTGCGAGA